GAGTGAGGAAAGGATTCTGACGACTTATTGACGATTTATTGGTCAAGGTAAGAAATTATCGTTGCGAGATCCAGATATTTGCCCGGCCTTATTCCTGCCGAGATATGCAAGGTGAAGATTTTGCAGACCAGACAGCCCCTTATTTACTATGTGCTTCGCAATAACTAAATCACTGAAAGTTTACTTCGATCATTCGCGTTTACCCCTCAATTTCCCTGATACAAATCATGCCCTTCCCAGCAATCGGGGCCGATATCAGAGCTGTGCTTCGTTTGCGAAGGAAATGAGTGCTAGATTCGTTCGTTTTCACCCGGGAATCAGTGTTAGGCGTCATTTCCAATTTTACCTTCTTTACCTTCTTATACCTACTAATCATCTCCTCCTTCTTCTCCTCTTTATAACCATCCCCACATACCCCATCCCTTCTTCTTCCCTTGCTCCTAAATTGTCCCTACACATTTTCATTTTCATTTTCTTTTCATTTTTTCTTGTCTTTTCTCTTTGCACTTCCTACCTCTGTCACGCTCGCACCTCCACTGTTTCATATTGGATAAACGTGTCTCCTTCGTTTCGCTTTGTTCTCTGACTCAACCTGGATCCCATCTACATGTTATTAGATTTTACTCTACTTTCCATGTGTTCCTTTATACTATTATTGTTTTATTCGGTTTCTGTTTTGGCTATCTTGTGTTTGTTAGTTGGTTCATTTTATTGTTTTCTGGTTTCTGTGTTTGTTTTGGGTTTGTCTGGATCTCTCTCTCTTCTCTCTCTCTCTCTCTCTCTCTCTCTCTCTCTCTCTCTCTCTCTCTCTCTCTCTCTCTCTCTCTCTCTCTCTCTCTTTCTCTCTCTCTCTCTCTCTCTCTCTCTCTTTCTCTCTCTCTCTCTCTCTCTCTCTCTCTCTCTCTCTCTCTCTCTCTCCCTCTCTCTCTCTCTCTCTCTCTCTCTCTCTCTCTCTCTCTCTCTCTCTCTCTCTCTCTCTCTCTCTCTCTCACATTCTCTTACATCTATCTTAATTCTCTACACTATCTTCTCTATCTCCCCCTCATCTCATTCTCACTCCGTCCTCCATCTTCTACCTTTAACTTTCATTCCATTTTCCATCGAAACCCCCTACAATGATCTCCCTTTCTCCCCTCAACCTCTTCCTCTTACCCCTCACTCATCCGTCCTTTCTTCCCTCACTCACCCACACTGCCTCTTTCCATTCACCCCCTTTCCTCTTTTCCAATACCGGCCCTTCCTCTTTCCCCTCACCCAGTCTTCTTATCTCTCCTCACCCACTATTCCTCTCTTCCCTCATCCATCCTTCCTCTCTCCCCTCGCCCACTCTTCCTTTATCTTCTCATCCGAACTATTTCCCCCCATTTATCCACCCTTCCTCTTTCTCCTCATCCACTCTTCCTCTCTCCCCTCACCCACCCATCCTCTCTCCACTCATTCCTTCCTTCCTCCATCCCCCTCTTCTTCGCTCTTCATCTTATTTGTCCCTTCGTCTGCGTCCCACTCCCAAGGCGGCGGAGCAGAGCCGAGTATATTAGCACATTTGTCCCTGTCTGTTAAGTCTTTGTGCCTCCGTCCCTTCCCCTGCGCTGACCCCCACGCAAGACACGGGTCCTCGACCTTGGCGTGGGAGAGTGTCTGTCTCCATCTGTTTGTGTGTCCTCATATGGTCTTCTCTTCTCACGACTACTTTCTTTCTTTCTTTCAAATTCCCTCTCTTTCTGTTTGGCATGTATTGTTTTTTTCTGTGCGGCTGTCTGTCATTTTGCCACCTCCCCCTCTGTAATATTTCTTGTTTTTACCTAATCTCGTGTTTGTATGCTTGCCTCATTGTCTATATTTTCTTCTTCTGTCTGTCTTTCTTTTATTCTCTCTCTCTCTCTCTCTCTCTCTGTCTCTCTCTCTCTCTCTCTCTCTCTCTCTCTCTCTCTCTCTCTCTCTCTCTCTCTCTCTCTTTCTCCCCTTTCTCACCCCCTCTCGCTCTTCCTTCTCCCTCCACATTCACACTTTCTAAACACTAATTGCAGCTCACAAAAGCGTGAGTAAACGGCGGAAGAATAATAATGATGTGATTCACTTATGAACTTCACACAAAGACAGGTGCGAGGCTGAATACTCTCTCATGTTCGCGATGGTGAGGATGTTAATTACATTGGCCAAAATAGGGATAATATTAATGATGATGATGCTGGGATATTGCTGATACGGAGTGATAGAATAGTGATAATGTTGATAATAATGATGATGATGAGTATGAAAATGATAAAACTAGAGACGATGAAATGATAATAATCTTGGTGATAAAGATATCCATCATCACGTTACTTATCAAAAATATTAAGAAAAGATAATGATTATGATAGCATCAGATTCAACATGATTACGATCCAACAAAATGTCGACAATGATAACGATACAAAAACACGTACTACATTATTAACAATAACATCATTATTTACAATAACAATGGCAAACCAAAGGCACGTAGCAGAGATGCACA